CACTTTGGATTTGTGATAGTCATGTGGTTGAATTTTATTGGTGATGATGTAGACAATATTAATTGCCACATTGGTATTCCAAAGTCTAAATAAATAGTCATAAAGATTGAATTACATAGGTACATTGCATTGGTTGTATTAATAATTAATAATAATACAAATTATATAAGTGCATTGCATTGACATTCTAAAGGTCTAACCATAATGACACATTGGATTTGTGATTGCATGTGATTGAATTTTATTGATGATGATGTAAACAACATAGATTGTTGCACTGGTATTCCAAAGTTTAAATAAATAGATATAAAGATTAGATTATATAAGTGCATTGCATTGGTAGTAAAAGCATACATGTTTATTAAAAATTATATAAGTGCATTATAGTGATATTGCAAACATTTTTTCGTATTTAATTGTGTTAGTATTCGAAATGTCTAAATAAGGGGTTATAAAAGGGAAATATATTCAGTTGTGTATTATCGGAATATGTTAGTTGGTATCAATAATACATCTGGTCTTTTGTTAATTGTTTATAGGTCATGTTAGTTTGTATCAATAATACTTCTATTCTACATGATTTTATTAATCAATGATTTTTTATTTATTTATGTTTTTATTGTTATTTATATGTCAAAAATTCATGAATTGACATTGAATAAAGGAAGGATGTTCGATTGACATTGTCAAATGAGTTCTTATGTTGATTCGTTCTTTTGAACTATAAGTATATCTTCTAACTATTTTAGTACGAAATTGTAAGTATATCTCATAACTATTTTAACGGTTATTATTTGGTTGAATGATTGTTTTTGTTCGATCAATCTATTTGAATGATTAATTGTGTTAGTCCTACCAAACGATAAGCTTATTCCTTAGCAATTTTAATATGAAGATTAATTAACTTTTGTTGATTTCGTTTTCAGGTAACAATTTTTATATGAATGAATGATTGTTCCTTAACAATCTTAACATAAAGATCGATTAAATTTTGTTATGTTTGTTTTCAAGAAAATGTTCATGTACTTTACTAAGATCAAATCGAGGATGATCCTATTGTCAACCAAAGTGCAAGTACGTGTCATATTTATATTAGTAGAAACAGTTCATTTGTGTTGAATATGTTTTCTCTAAAAACATTCATGTATTTTAATTTGTTATATGAATGATGTGCGAGTATATATGTTAAATGAATTAATTTTGGCTGATTCCATTCTCCAATTAATAGGTGTTATTTGATATTTCTTATCAGTCATAATATGATAATCCCTTAAATTTGAGTCAAGTAAACCATTCGTTTTATCATCACAAGCATTTTGGTTTCAACTAAACAATCAGTAGTTAATTGACCATAATTTGCTCAATAAAAATCCAATTGATGGGAGGATTGAATCTTTAGAAATGAGACAGTGCTTTAATTTGATATATTATACACTTAATTTGGATAACTATAGCCCCACTACCGAACCATTTCTTTCATCATCACACACATTTTGACTTCCACTTAATAGTCAGTAGTAAATTGACTATAACTTGCTCAATAAAAATCCAATTGATAAGAGGTTTGCATTTTTAGAAACTAGACAGATATGGCTTTAAATGATATATTATATGCTTAATTTGGATAACTGTAGCCCCACTATCAAACTATTTCTTTTATCATCACACACATTTCAGTTTCCCCCGTTTCTCGATTTCCACTGAACAGTTAGTACTAAATTGATCATAACTTTCTCAATAAAAATTCAATTGATGATCGGTTTGAATATTTAAAAACTAGACAGATAGGTATTTAATTGGATATACTGTATGCTTAATTTGGATAACTGTAACCCCACTGCCGAACCATTCCTATTATCATCACACACATTTCGGTTTTCACCGAACAGTCAGTAGTAAATTGACCATAACTTGCTCAATAAAACTCCAATTGATGAGAGGTTTGAATATTTAGAAACTAGATAGATAGAGCTTTAATTTTATATATTATACACTTAATTTAGATAAGTTTAGCCTCACGGATGAACCATTCCTTTTATCGTCACACACATTTTGGCTTTCCCTGTTTCCGATTTCCACAAAGCAATCAGTAGTAAATTGACCATAACTTACTCCATAAAAATTCAATTGATGAGCAGTTTGAATCTTTGGAAACTAGAAATATAGATCTTTACTTTGATATATTATATGATGAATTTGGATAACTATAGACATGCGGCCGAACCATTCATTTTATCACCACACATAAAACCAAGTCAATTTTAGTAATGACAAAGAAAAACAAATATTGACATGCAGTTTTAATTGTATTTGTTCTATCTCTTTTGTTGATATTTTTTTATGTTACATACATATATCGAAAACAAGTTGTTGTTGGATATAACAAGTTGTTCTATCTCTTTTGTTGATATTTAAGACACGCATTTCTGTTTCCACTGAACAATCAGTAGTAAATTGATCATAACTTGCTCAATAAAAATCAAATTGATGAGAGGATTGAATCTTTAGAAACTAGATAGACAATGCTTTAATTTGATATATTATACGCTTAATTTAAATAACCATAACCCCACTGCTGAACAATTCCTTTCATCATCACACATATTTCGACTTTCACTGAACAGTCAGTAGTAAATTGACCATAACTTGCTCAATTAAAATCCAATTGATGAGACGTTTGCATTTTTAGAATCTAGACCGACAGGGCTTTAAATTGATATATTATACGTTTAATTTGGATGATTGTAGCCCCACTTCTGAACCATCCCTTTTATCATCATACACATTTTGGTTTCATCTGTTTCTCGATTTCCACTAAACAATCAGTAATAAAATTGTCATAACTTGCTCAATAAAATTTTAATTGATGAGAGGTTTGAATATTTAGAAACTAGACATATGCTCTTTAATTTGATACACTATACGCTCAATTTGGATAAATGTAGCCCTATTTACGAACCATTCATTTTATCATCACACACATTTTGGTTTCCCCAGTTTCTCGATTTTGACTGAACAGTCAGTAATAGATTGTCTATAACTTACTCAATAAAAATCCAATTGATGAGCAGTTTGAATCCTTGGAAACTAGAAAGATATGGATTTAATTTGATACATTATACGATGAATTAGGATAACTATAGATTTGCTGCCGAACCATTTATTTTATCATCACACAAATAAAACAAATTCAATTTTAGTGATGACAAATGAAAACTAATATTGATATGTGGTTTTAATTGTATTTGTTCTATCTCTTTTTGTTGATTTTTGGATTGATTTTGTTGTTTGATTTGTGGGTTTCATGGGTTTTACAATTATCGTCTTTCTTTAGGATTGTATCATCAGATGCTTTTTTTGCTATAAGTGGTGGTTAATTCTAATTACAGCAAATAGATTTGTGTCACAGGATATTTATCTTTATAGCTTCTTCAATGCTTCAATTAAGTTGCCTTCAGATTGTACTGTTGGAGTTGTTGCTTTTTATGTGAGTTCTTTTCTCAACATTCTTAATTTTTTTTTTAATTTCTAAAATAATAATAATTCATTTTCTCTTCTCAACAATCAAAATCGGTTTTTTTCTTTGGCAATGCAAGTCTCTTGCTTAAAAGTTCATATTTTTAAACAAGGTTTCTCTTTCTCTGATTTATTTATAGACTTATCAATAATACCCAGTGGGTTATCCTGTAAATTTTTTTACTTTTCTTGACAAAGTTTTAAACTTTGGTTGCAGATTTCAAATGATGACATATTTGAGAAGAACCATGATGATATAAACTTTGAGCTCAATTTGTGGATATTTTATTTATTGATTTTTTAATTATCAATTAAATATAAAATGAACTTCAATATAGAAAATATATATTTAAAACACAAAAAACCAACAATAATGTAAAAATAAAAAATACCCGAGCAATGCAACTTGAAAATGAATATAAGTTACAGAAATTGCACAAGGTCATATAAATTTTAAGTTTAAATAGTTAATTTTGATAATATTCAGGTGATCTTAAATATCATACACGATTCACTATAAAATACTGACGTTAGGGGTGTTAAAAAAAATGCAAAAACCAAACCGAACTGCTAACCGAACCGAAAAACTGGTTAACCAAAAAAACGGTTCGGTTACGGTTCAAAAAATCAAATTTTCGGTTCGGGAGAAATTAGAAACGGTTAACCGAAAGCCGGTTTTTCAAATATATATATATATTCAATAAATAAATAATAACCTAAACTAAAATAAATCCCTAATTCACTCAATCTAAAATCCCAACCTAAATTTTTTTTCTTAGTTTCCAATGCATTGTCTATATTTACAATTTAATTTAGGATAAAATTAAAAAAAAAATTTATAAAAAAAAAAGGAAAACCAGTTCAAAACCAGTTAACCGCTTTTTTTAAAACGGTTAACCGGTTTTCCCTAAGACCGGTTTGGTTCGAAAATTTTCCCGAACTGAAAATCCGGTTCGGTTAACCGCTTTTGAACACCCCTAACTGACATAGAATATCGACATGTCTGCAAAAATAATATTAATTGTATAAGATTATGATCTTGAAAATATAATTAAACCATATAATATTCATATAATTTTCTTAAGTTGGATGAATGATCTAATGACATCTACCTATAATTGATATTAATAATTATACAGGTATAATTATTAATTTTATCTAACGCAATTTTGTATATATATAAAATTTATATTTACTTTAAAATTTGTATAATTTAATAATTATACGTCTTAATCTAATTTGTTTATTTTTTTAAAATAATTTTGTTTACAATCTATTTCAAAAACATTGAGTAAACATACCCACGCAACTTAAGAAACTCATGTCTGGTTATGTACATAATTAACAATAAAATAAAACAATTTATTTTACAATATTACAATTGAAGCGAGTTCGGGTATACCCGCCCTTCTGCTTCGGCGGGTTAGTCGGGTACCGCCCAGGCCCACCAGGATTTGGCATCCCCGTGATAAAAGCACGGCTTCGAAAGAGTGTAGGCAGCTGCAGCTATTCAAAGCCAACTTGAATTTGTAACCTTCAACAATTCACTCTCTTCTGATCGAATTCTCATAGATCTATTCTGATCTTCAGAGCACGCCATGGCTTCGACATCCGATCCATATAAGCAGTGAGTATTCCGAAACGCAATATTTTTTTTTTTCTGTATTTATTGACTATTATTCATCATGCAAATTCAACTCATTTTTTTCTATTATATCTATGAAGGGAGGCTGTTATTAGGAAACAAAATAAAGGAGCTCCGATCAAGTTCTTGATTCCTCTTATATACGCTCCTATTCTTCCTTTAAGTAAGGTTAATTTTTGTTTTTTAAGATAATTTTGTTATGTTCATTATATTGATTTTGTCAATAATTTTAATTTTTATGTGCATATTTGATTCTTTGTTTTAGTTCGAATCTCATTGAGGAGGAAGCCAGTTCTAAGGGACCGGTTGTTTACTGGTGTGTTGGTTGGTGCATTTGCTCATGGATTTTATCTGGTGTATCCTTTATTCTCTTCTATAGTCTGTGCGTTGTGCAATTTGATTTTTACCTTTTTTTTTATTGATTGAATTTTAATACATGAATTATTGTAGAACCATTGCATATACTTTTTATTGTGCTCATATTGTATATTGAAATGGGAGATTCGTGTTCCTTTTATGTGGTTTGACCCTTGCATATTTTTTATGTGACTTGATGTTGCATGTTTTGTTATTATTAAAAAGGTTTTCATCCATAATTTTTTTGTATTTTATCTAGCCTCTATGAAAATGTATATTGGTTGTTTAGATGGAAATATTTGCCCTTTCTGTTTTTCATGTGTTGCATTTGTAAAAATATTGTAAAATTGGATATTCGAAACATGTAATCCTCATTGAGTGTTGTTAAATGAGTTCATGTCTATGCTGTTTCTTTACATACTTCGTTTGTAGGACATGAGAATTTACGCTTGAATTTAAGAGATGATGGTTTATTGTTTCACAGTATATGCTTTTTGAGTAGAGTAGGTTTTTTGTAGCTTCGGCAAATTAGTAAGATCTTACCTATGAGCAATTGGCGGATACATGTCAATGAAGATTTGTTTTAGTAACATCATTTCTTGTCAAGAGCAGGTACAGGAAGACAGTGAGGGTGGTTAGGGAATTTGTTTTTTTAAACTCATATCTCCTTTTCTTTTTTCTTTCTCTTTTTGTTCCTTTAAGAGATTTTTATTTTTATTTTATTATTATTATTTTTTTTTGATTTACCAGTAGCATGTCCATCTCTCTTTGGATTTATCCTCTGAAGTTGGCATTTAGGGTCTTTAGCGTTTAATAGGATTTTAGTCATTGGGTGCACAAAATGGGTCTGAAAGTATTAAAAATGTGAGAGTCAGAGATGTGCTCATAAACTATACTAACCAGAATCATGGCAATGGCATACCTGACTGTTATGTGCTTTGAAAGAAAATTCTTACTTTTCTCGTAAACCGTTAGTATGCATTTTGGTACCAACGATTTTATATTGCTTGCTTTTTCTGCATATTTATTAATGCAATGAATGAGATAAGTAATTTGGTTCTAATCAAACTCTCTTCATCGTTGCCCCTAATGAAAGTAGACATGAAAGTAAATTTCAGTTCTTTGTCTTCCTCCTTCACTTAAGCCTTTGAAAGAGCATTCATTCATGGAGCTAAAAGCTGTGGGTTAGAGGAGCTTGTTTCTTGGTTTTTTAACTCTGATAAGTATTTTCTGGCTCTATATTTGATTTCACATATATATTGACTTCTCTTGTATTATATACCTATATTTTCTTATGTTTCTTTTGGTGCTTCTTTGTAACCTACCCCATGATTTTGTGTGCCACCTCTGGCACATCTTTATGCATTTATTATTTCTCAAACGTGAAATTATTCCTTGCTTTGTGCTGGGTATCATGGATTAGATTCGTAAAATGTACTTTCGACAGATCAAGATTCACTCATGCAAGATGCTGGTAGAAGATTGTCTTTCCTCCATTTTTTTTTTTTTAAAAGAAAACAACAAAAAGACCTTAATATGGTGTTGTGTTCATAAAAATTCTCGCCGTTTATTTTCTTTCTTTCCTCTTTCAGTACTATGTTGGCTTTTCCTTAATGAATTTTCAGAACGGATCTTTATGATGTTGAGAGCAAGTGAGGTGGATTGGTTAGAGGAGAAATGTGGTTGTTTACTTCAATTCTACAACATTTTTTTTAATTGCGAATATTTGCAGCTTGACAATCTGGTAATACCTTCAATGGCTTAGGACAGATTAGATACTGTAATTCTGGGATGATAGGTATCTTGTAATCTTGTAACTTTATTATTGAAGGCCCTTTTTTTTTTATTTTCGTGTGTATGTGTGTGGGGAATAAGGAATGATATGGAACTGATTGTTGCAATTAGCTTATTACATGCAATGAGGTAACAAATGATTAACCTTTTCTTTTTTCCATTTAAATTAAATACTCTGTTTTCATTACAGTTTATGATTATGAGTTATAGACGTGCTGTATTGTTTTATCAATAAATCTATCTTTACAAAGAAGTCTACAAAGAAACTTACAAAGTGAAGGAAAAAACAAAAGAAAAACGGAAAAAGAGAAAGAGAGAGAGAGAGAAATGATGAAGACGAAGGGTGGAGGTTAACTTTGTATGCCTCCTTTGTAGGCTTTTTTGTAAGATTAGCACTGCTGTTGTTTTATACTATTGACTTGAGGAATATTGACACTAGAGTGAAATTTAGTTCAATTATCTGTTTTAATGGTACACTTGATGGCTTGCCATAATTAGGACATTCATAAATTCACATAATAGCAACAGTTCAGCCTGAGTGTAGTTTTTAGCCTTGGAGATTTCACTGATGGCTTGTGCAGCCTATTTATATCATGGCCGAATAAAAAATAAAAAAAAAAGGTCGCAGGTATAATATAAGTTGTCTGTTTGGGAGCTTGCATATTTTTGTGTGTGTAAGAAACAGCCGACCTTGAGGCTCATAGAGGGCGATGCTTCTTTCATCAAGTCGGCATTGTTATCTATTGAAGATAGTATTAAGCAGTGAACTGATTATTGGTTAATCAAGATGAGCGAATAGTAGGAAGGATAGAGATAATCTACATTTACTGAGAGCGATTTCTTAACAATGAAATTGTAATGCAATAATGAATTAAGGAAAGATACAAATAAACTAAAAACAAAATCGGCTGTCCATCAATTTAAATTGATTGAACCGTTTATCCTCCAGGATCACTTTCACTATTTCCTCGCACTTTTTACATGTTAGTCTATATTTCCAGCTTTCATAATCAGTACATTTCAGAACTCTGCTTATGTATTTTTCAATATTGAACAGAGACAATTTTAGGATAATGACTATCTTTATGGGGGACACACTTCCCCATTGAAATAAATAAACCAAACATTTTCCACCACCTTGATTAATCTCAAAATCATTTCCTGTTACTCTTTGAATTTCAGGCAAACACCTCCATTATTGGTTGGTAGGGACAAATATTCAATCAAATTTATTTTAAGTATATTAAAATTCACTTATAATTCTTTTCTTTTTCTTTCTTTTCTTGCAATCCTCTATTATACGTCCCATACTATCATTTTTGTGTAGTTATGTGAGGTTTTCTACCACAAGGGTTACTAGACCTTAGAGATACTCTCAGAAAATCATAAAGTTTATGCGTGTGGAAAATTATAATAGCTGACCTAAGCGGAACCAATCAATACAACGATCGGTTGAAATGATGGTCAAGACCCTCATTTTATCCCACACATACGTACACCCACACAGCTTCTAACATCATTTAAAAAGGCTAGTGAATATTAAACAACAACATAAATGGAGAACATAAACATAAATGAAGAACATGTACAAAAATGAAGAACAAGAATATAAATGAAAACATAAATATTAAACATATTAAAAAACATAAATTAAAAACATATATGAGATCTTTTGCTATCTATAATATTATCAGAGTATTACAACATCTTTGAGGTTGAGGGAAAGTTAGAAATATGAAAGAAACATGGAAGAATTATAGTAAAGATGTGTAGAGAAAGCATGGAAGTGTACAGAAAATATGGAAGAGAAAAGTGAGAGAAATAAACAAAAGTTGTACAAAGTTCCTCCTCCTCCCCGAGAAGGTAAAAGGCTTTATTTATAGATACAAGGGATACAACTACTCATAAATGAGTCATTAAATTCAAGACTAACCTTTTGGACTTTTTTTTTTTTTTTTTTTTTACATTAAGTAGCCTACAATTCTTGACTTTTTATAAAGGATACGAGAGATATTACATTGAGATGGCAAATTACCATTTAGTCCACCCCTATTTTACATAAAGAACACAACTATTTATTTTAGCACACGCGGGTTGTTAATCGTCTGACAAATTGGTAACGTGCCACGAGTCTTCATCCTGAAAGTCGAGACAACCCATTGATTGTATCCAGTCAGCAGGGATTTATCAGGGAGATGTATTTGGATGAGTCTCCGAAGAAATGTCTGGAATCTGAGATGTTGGCTTTACAGATGTATTTGGTGCATGCGTGTATTATTGTCCCCTGAATTTATGGAGGTAGTAATTACGAGACTGCTGAAGCTCTTCTTTCTGCACAGTATCTGGCTGTGAGTCCGGGTACCACCATTCTGGATAAGTTGAATTGTCATCGAATTGAGCATTGATGGAACGTATACATGTCTGTTTGGCTTGGAGTAATTTCTCAGTGTAGTCTAGAGGAAAGAGTTCCCACGGAGCATCATCGTGAAAGGATAGCCATAGTGCATCTAGAATGATCTGATTTTTTTCAAAAATGATTTTTTGAATTGATCTAGTCTCAACAGGATGATCAAACATATTATGGACGAGGTCATATGGATAAGACCGATGAAATGTGACTTGATGCTGTGAAAAATATAGGCCATCAGATCTGATGGAGTGATGTCTGTGAAAAAACATTATAGACTATGCTATTTTGGTAGACATAGGACCTTTGTACCGAGCAAGTTGGTGAGCAAACACAGATTTCCATTTGTCTAGTGTTTTGAACCATCGGAGAAAAGTCATCAAAGAGTGTAATTCAGGGGTTGAGGTTGACTGATATTGGGAAATTATTTTCAACATATGATGGATTGGGAATTGAATGGCAATGTTATATTGGTGTAACATATACCAAATGAACCATAATAATTCTTCTGGAAATATGATATCAAGACCTAGAGGTAAACAAAAGATTTTTGAAAAGGGATAATCTGGATAGACCCCTAACATATCATACATGGATTGACCACATTTTTCAATGCATTGAAGTTGGTAAGAAAACATGAGGGTAGTAGCATTTTCATCAATGGTATGCATTCGAACAAGGTCATCGAATTCAAGAGGGACGTCTGGAGTATGGTTTGGTGAAGAAGATGATGAACAGGAACTAGACTGGGTTAATGGTTGGAACATGAAATATGGAAAAGGTTTGGATCTAGGGTTCATGAAACCAAGTTGTTTCAGTTTGGGTCTGGATAAATAATCTGCAATGGTGTTGGTGTGACCTTTGATATGCTACCTTGTTGGTTCATACCTTGTGGTATCAGAGCCAAACCGCTTATGGATTCCAATCTCTGCGTGTGCGGAGGATTACCTCCCCTCGGATATTAGCTCCTTTAAGTTTTGGCTTTGTTTAAGAAGTTATGTTTTATTTCTTTGTTTAAGAAGTTATGTTTTATTTTATGTTTAATTTTTGGGTCTTGCGTTATCCTTGTCATTTGAGGTGATATTACACATCCAAGAGGTTGAACTTACGCACATGGAATCCTCTTTAGCTTTATCTATGTCTACTGCTCCGACAAATACTAGCTTATCTAGATCTTCTTCTAAGGTAGACAGATTGTATGAAATATCTTATATCCCAGAAAATAAAAAAATTCCAAGACACTATCCCTCCCATTGTAAATCCTTATACAGCCTTTTCCAAGTCTTCGTCTTCTTTGTCTAAAACCTTTAAAACTCTTGTCAGACCTTCTAGAAAGCTAGTCAAAGAGTATGTCCAGACTAGTACTTTTGACAAGTGTCAAATTCCAGCCACAACCCAAGAACAATATGTTACTTTGTAAATCCCTCAAGAATCCATTACTCAATGGATCCGTGAAGGATAATCTCATGTACACTTTGGCGCTATCCGGCTCGCCCTATCTTATCATGGAAGAAAAGGACTCCCAGTCTCTGTTCGAATTACTTTATTGGACACCAGATTTGTCCAATATCAACATGCTTGTATAAGGACAGCACATACAACTTTGAATGATGGGACAGTCATTATAACACTATTTCCTCATTTCAACATGTCCCTCTCTGATGTTCATTGCTCAAAGGCTCTTAAAGTTCAATTACAGGTCGTTGGTACAGATTTAAATCCATGGAGTATTGCAGCTACTTTGCATTACCAAATGGTTTGGCGAATCCAAGACCATGCTCTTGATCTCGCTATCCCTACAACTATTGATACACTGCTCCTTACTGTTGACTCTCAGAATACTCCTCACTGCATCAATATTCCCAAGCAAATTTCCAGAGGTGATTTGATTAAATTGTTACCCGACTCTTGGGTGACGAGTTACAAGTCTCTTAATGAAAAAGAAACTCCGGTGGTTTCTACAGAATTTACCATGCATGATAACAGTGACGGAACAACAACTATCAGATTTAAGCCTCCAGCAACTCCCAGTGCTCCACCTTTGAGTTTTCGACAAACTCAATTCATGATTACTTCGGTCAGACCCACTACAGCAGTACGGGAACCTGGACTTTCCATTCATTCATTTCAATAACTGGTGCTCCTGTCTATCATCAATATGATCCAGTCACTGGTCATACTCCATTTGATCTTGACTGCCAATGGTTGGAATGCCGTGATGATCCTATTTGGGAAATAGATGAGTATTATCTTCCAAGATGAAACTATTTCAGACAGAAAAAATAGATAGCTCACTGCAGTCAAACAGATCTTTAGTCCCGATTTGAAGACCATGATCCTAAAGTTGGTCTTCTTGGTCAACCATCTGGTAAATTTGACTATTATGTCAAATATTCTCCACCAGCCAGGAAAGATTCACCATCCATTAATCCCTCATGGGACATCCCTCCAAAACCTAAACCCAAATCACCTTTAAAACTATCCAAACCTGCTAAATCACCTTACTTCAAACAACATTTACTATGTTATCAACAGTCTCTCAGATGGATTGCCAAAGAAAATAAACCAACCCATTCACCCCTTGCTCATACTCTATCTGTTCAGTCCGTTATGATGATCTAATCCCCTGAGCCCACAAAGATAGGATAACATTTCAATTATGACACAGATTTTCCTTCTCTTCAGGAAACCGCTACTCAATAACCAAAAGTAGTTCCTTCCAAAGTAATACAGTCTGATGGA